TTTATATAACATCACAATGAGCCCAAAACAACAAGTTTGTTAAATTACCTTTACAATGAAACTTTAAACATGACATATGGTCAAAGCGTTCCCTAGATATCTTCAAAAGTATATTTATGGACTTTTATAGTGACAACATTGCAGTTACCATGGAAACCATCATTTTTAAAAATGTTCTCACCTGTTTTGATTTATTTTAGGGATTAGGCATGTTAACACAGATGCTAAGCTTTCCAATGGTACCATGATTAGCCAGTAACATTTTCATCGATAATTAGACTCCAGATGAAAATCTGGAGTCTATTGCTTTTGCCAGTTTTCTTCTTATTATTATTATTAGACTCCAGATTGAAAATCTGGAGTCTATTGCTTTTGCCAGTTTTCTTATTATTATTCTTTCTTTCCGCGTTTTCTCAGCAACTAGAGGGACTTTCTGAAATCTGCTTACATGGTTAAATAGGTAATGAGACCTAGTTTCTGGGAAATTAGGTCAAATTTTTATTTAGGTCAAAGGTCAAAATCTAGGTCAAATTATCATTTTGTCAATTATCTCTGTCATTTTTCAATATTTTTTCAAAAATTTTTTTTTAACGTGTAGCCAAGAAAAAGACGATTCGACTGTGAGTAATCAGTTTTTTGATTACTTTTACCAATTTTGAGATATTGCGTCCGGAAAGTAGGTCAAACGAAAAAGTTCTCCAAATTCAACGTATGAGTTATGAAATAAGTGTAAAATTTCCTCAGGAATCCAAATCTGCAAACTAAATTTCGATCTGACTTCCGATTCGGAAGCTATAGCGTTTCGAAATTGCTAAATTTGGTGCCCATGTTAAGCCAATGGGAAAAAAAACTTTTTCGAAGTGTAAAATACAAGATATAGACTGAGTACAGCTTAACATAATGAATGCCCATAAAAGAAGGGGGCCTCAAAAGCTACCTAGCTTCAAAATTTGGACATCAAAATGCCTAGGTCAAAATCTAGGTCAAATTTATTGTTTTTCCTTATTTTTACGATTCCGACACTACACTTTAATAATTTTCTTCAAAATTTTGTATACAGGTAGCCAAAAGTGTGCTAATAGTGTAAGCCTTTTGCCGTCAGAAAGTATTTTGACCCACTTTTGAGATATGGTGTCCGAAAAGTAGGTCAAACTAAAAAGTTCTCCGAATTTAACGTATGAGTATGAATTGAGGGTAGAATTTTCTCAGGAATCCAAATCTGCAAACCAAATTTCAATCCGACTTTTGGTTTGGAATTTATGTCGTTTTGAAAGCTCAAAAATCGCTAAATTTGGTGCCCCATGTTATGGCAATGGGAAAAAAGATTTTTTTGAAGTGTAAAATACGAGATAAAGACTGAGTACAGCTTCACATAATGAAAGCCTATCAAAGAAAGGGACCTCAAAAGCTAGCTAGCTTCACAATTTGGTCACCAAAATGCCTAGGTCAAAATCTGGTTCAAATTTATAGTTTTAACTTATTTTTGCGATTCTGACACTACACTTTAATTATTTGCTTCAAAATTTTGTATACATGTAGCAAAGAGTGTGCTAATAGTGTTAGCCTTTTGCCGTCAGAAAGTATTTTGACCCACTTTTGAGATATAGTGTCCGAAAAGTAGGTCAACATGAAAGTTTCTCCAAATTTAACGTATGAGTTATGAATTAAGGGTAGAATTTTCTCAGGAATCAGAATCTTTAAACCAAATTTCGATCCAACTTCTGATTAGATAGTTATAGCGGTTTGAAGTCTCGAAAAGTCGATATGATGATATCCCCATGTTAAGCCAATGGAGTCGAAGATAACATTCTTAAGAGTTGTCTAAATGTCTATATTCTAGTTGACTCAGCTTATTCTGAATGACTCAGCTTACAAGTATTTGGATGACTCAGCTTAAAAAAAGTATTAAATCTGGAGTCTTAAATTGAACTTGTTCAATTTACATGTCTAGTTATTATTATTTTTCTTTCTTTCTTTCTTTCCGTACACGTTTTCTCAGTAACTAGAAGAACTTACTTTAACCTACTTACATGGCTAACATAGCCCATCAACCTAGTTTCTGGGAAATTGGGTCAAATTTGTATCTAGGTCAAAGGTCAAGAACTAGGTCAAATTAAGGTCAAATCAACATTCTGTCAATTATCTTCGTTGCTTATTGTCGTTACTCCTTCATCTTTTTTTCATCATGTAGCTTAGAAAAAAACAAATCGAGAGTGTGCCATCCGTTTTTTGATTACTCTTAGCGATTTTGAGATATGGCGTCCGGAAAGTAGGTCAAACTAAAAAAGTTCTCCAAATTTAACATATGAGCTATGGAATAAGGGTAGAATTTTCTCAGGAATCCGAATCTGCAAACCAAATTTCAATCCGACTTCCCGTTTGAAAGTTATGGCGTTTTGAAATTTCGAAAAAAATCGATCTGATGTTATCCTGATAGAAAGTCAAGGAAAAAAGATTTTTTTGAAGTGTAAAATACGAGATATAGATTGAGTACAGCTGAAGATAATGAATTCCTATAAAAGAAGGGGACCTCAAAAGCTACCTAGTTTCAATATTTGGACACCAAAATGCCTAGGTCAAAATCTAGGTCAAATTCATAGTTTTTCCTTATTTTTGCGATTCTGGCACTACACTTTTAGGATTTGCTTCAAAATTTTGTATACAGGTAGCAAAAAGTGTGCTAATAGTGTTAGCCTTTTGCCGTCAGAGAGTATTTTGACCCACTTTTGAGATATGGTGTCCGAAAAGTAGGTCAAAATAAAAAGTTCTCATAATTTAACTTATGAGTTATGAATTAAGAGTAGAATTTTCTCAGGAATCCAAATCTGCAAACCAAATTTCGATCCGACCTCCGGTTCCAAAGTTATGGCGTGTCCGAAAAGTAGGTCAAAATAAAAATTCGCCAAATTTAACGTATGAGTTATGAATTAGGGGTAGAATTTTGTCAGGAATCCGAATCTTTAAATTAAATTTCGATCCGACTTCCGGTTCGGAAGTTATGGCGTTTTGAAATTTTGGAAAATCGATCTGATGGTATCCTGATAGAAAGTCAAGGAAAAAAGATTTTTTTGAAGTGTAAAATACGAGATATAGATTGAGTACAGCTTAAGATAATGAATTCCTATAAAAGAAGGGGACCTCAAAAGCTACCTAGTTTCAATATTTGGACACCAAAATGCCTAGGTCAAAATCTAGGTCAAATTCATAGTTTTTCCTTATTTTTGCGATTCTGGCACTACACTTTTAGGATTTGCTTCAACATTTTGTATACAGGTAGCAAAGAGTGTGCTAATAGTGAGAGCCTTTTGCCGTCAGAAAGTATTTTGACCTACTTTTGAGATATGGTGTCTGTAAAGTAGGTCAAAATAAAAAGTTCTCATAATTTAACTTATGAGTTATGAATTAAGGGTAGAATTTTCTCAGGAATCCAAATCTGCAAACCAAATTTCAATCCGACTTCCGGTCAAAAATTCCTACTTACCTACCTACTTACCTATTCGGCTACCTACTTAGCTACCTACTCAGCTACCTACTCAGCTACCTACTCAGCTACTTACTCAGCTACCTACTCAGCTACCTGCTCAGCTGCTTACTCAGCTACCTACTCAGCTACTTACTCAATAACTTAATCATCTACTTACTCAGCTTCCTACTCAGTTACTTACTCAGCTCTTTACTCAAGTAAATCAATCTGGAGTCTTAAATTGAACTTTGTTCAATTTACCAATCTAGTTATATTTAACATGACATTATATTGTTGAGGATTTTTTAATCATTGAAAATGTATAAAATGTATAAATGCCTCAAATATATCTGGATTTGTCAAAAATCTCGATATTAGATATTTGTATTATGACATCACAATCATAGTGATATTGTTTGTTCGATATACTAATAGTATGTGTTGTGTTAAGTCACTTAAAGACAAAACATAGTTTACTTTAAGTATTGTAGCTTACAGAAGCATATAATACATGTTTAGATTCTGTCAAAATCACCGAAAATTCAGCTGTTTCTAGTTCTATGACATCACAATGAGCCCAATAATCCAAAAAATACATTTTTTCAAAAAGTTTGTTAAATTACCTTTACAGTGATACTTTTATCAAGACATATGGTCAAAGTGTTCTCTAGATATGTTCAAAAGTATATTCATGGGCCTTAATGGTGACAACATTGCAGTTACCATGGAAACCAGCATTTTAAAGAATTTTCTCACCTGTTCTGAATTGCTTTAGTTGTCAAACATATTAGTGCAGATGCTAAGCTTTCCAACAGTACCATGATTTGCCAGTAACCTTTTCATCGATATATTTAACATGACATTATATTGTTGAGGATTTTTTAAGTTATCATTGAAAATGTATAAAATGTATAAATGCCTCAAATATATCTGGATTTGTCAATAATCTCGATATTAGATATTTGAATTAGGCCTCTATCTCTTTGCATTATGACATCACAATCATAGTGATATTGTTTGTTCGATATACTAATAGTATGTGTTGTGTTAAGTCACTTAAAGACAAAACATAGTTTACTTTAAGTATTGTAGCTTACAGAAGCATATAATACATGTCTAAATTCTGTCAAAATCACCGAAAAATCAGCCGTTTCTAGTTCTATGACATCACAATGAGTCCAATAATCCAAAAAATACATTTTTTCAAAAACTGTGTCAAATTATCTTTACAGTGATACTTTTATCAAGACATATGGTCAAAGCGTTATCTAGATATGTTCAAAAGTATATTCACGGGCCTTAATAGTGACAACTTTGCAGTTACCATGGAAACCAGCATTTTTAAGAACTTTTCCACCTGTTCTGAATGTTTTTAGTCATCAAGCATGTTAGTGCAGAAGTTAAGCTTTCCAACGGTACCAAGATTAGCCAGTAACCTTTCGGAGGTTTAATCTCTTCAAATATTGCCGGCTGCTACTCGTCTATTATACATTAATATTATGAACTATTGTAGTACATGTAACGAAAGCAGACTTACTGTCCTGGTGAGTTTCGATGCTTTTGCTTTGGCTAGTACCCAGCCCCTTGCTGTTGACAGATGTGACATCAATAGTGTAATTATTATAAGGGACTAGACCCAACACAAAATGTGATACTGCTGAATTTATATCAACTGCCTGTCCATATTCAAGCCCACATCCTCTTCCTCTAAGGTATTCACGCATTACGTTGTCCGGTAAAGGTTTTGATTCGTTAAGACCTTGATACCGTATGTCCTTCTGCAATTTATATAATGACATCACAAACATTAAGAATATACTCTGTCAATGGATATGGTAGCCAAAGAAATATGAACTACATTCAATAGATGCTAATTCCGTGGATTAAATTCGAAATTGATGGAATTCAGTTAATGTCAATTTTAAAATAAGAAAAACATATCACCATGACAACCTATGGTTCCATTACTTTTATATTTTATTTTTGGGCGCCGAAATTAAGAGAATAAGTTCATGGTTTTTAATTTATATGGATCAGTTAGGGTTTTCGGCGCCTGTAGGACTTATATGTTAACACCGAACAACCGGAAAGAGCAAATCTAAAATTAACTCTGTCCGCAGTTTTAAACTGTTTGTGAGTGAGAACTTAATCATACAAATGAAGAGAAATATGATGAATGCCTGGCCTTTCCGACCTTGAAACGGGAAATCTCTGGAGAAGGTGATGTTGAGAAAATATAATGATCAATTACAAATCATGTCCTAGGGAAACAACAGAAAAATAGATCTAGTTGTGCGTAACTTTGTTTTATGCTGCCATCGTCTTACCCAACATCTTGTGTCATCTGGTGTTTTGTGTGTCACGTTAAATATTACACCTCTATAACACTTGTTCTTGTTAAACACTCTCATAACATAGTGCCGAATCACTCCGTTGGGCTCATGAGGCTTTTCCCAGCTGAAGCTGGAATTTCTTGAAGTAACAGAGCCTATATGAAGATTTGTAATATTCTCTGGAACTAAATATTAGCTTTTCGTTAGTTGCTAGATACATTACAAAACATATTATGTATTGTAATAAATTGAATTATTATATATCTCATATGTATTATAGATGTGCATTGGCTTATTCATGGTCACGTGATATGAAATAGATGAACTTATTCCCTGGAAAGTCCTAAATACATGATAACAGGGAAGCTGAAATTACTAATTAGGTGGCCAGTCATTAATACATTTTGTCTTCCCTGCTAGCTGGGATTATAGGTGTTAAATGGCAAATGTCTTCAAATGTCATTGAGACCCTGAAAGCATTGAATTTCATTTTTCTTTCCATAGACATATGGGGATATATAATAAAACAAATAGCCACTGCCACATTTTCGGGAAATGGTCTACCTCAGGCACAAGTCAATGGACAGGATATTCTCTCGGATGTCAATGGATAAGATATTCCCTCGGATTTTGTATTTATTTGCTCAATTGCAGTCATTATTTGTATACTAATGCACACTACAATTTTAAAATATTTCTTAAGTCGAAAAGATAATTTCTGCTGGTTTAATATAATAATCCTTTGCCAATGGAAAAATCATTCGATGATTTCGACTCGAATACTTACAGTTTTCATCAGTAGGTTTTATGATAGGTTGAGAACTTTCACCAGGACCTTTTTGGTTTACTGCCGACACTTTGACTTCGTAGGGAATACCTGTAGGAGAAGGCAAGACTTGACAATAAAGAAACAAGAAAACTGGTGAGAACAAATGCGACAACTCTTTTAGGTTTCAAATGTTTTCTAATCATTATTTTTCAGTCTGCTGATTTTTGTCTCATCTAGCTGTTAGTAACACACAGTTTTTTATTTATAACATAGCTCATAATAACAGTTGCGCATTTCCAGTGGAAAACATGTAGATTGACACTTTGAGATTATGTCATGTTTTAGTTTTACATTTTTTACACTATATTGTGAACTAAATAAGTTATAATGCCAGATTATGTTCATAGATGGCCCGTGCCCTACAGATATAAACTGTAATGCGAGAGAGAATGGATTTATAGATTCCCTGTTCCAAGAAGTAAACTAAAATGCCAGAGATTGCATTCGTAGATGTCCCATACCCAAAAGATGTAAACTCTAATGCCAGGGAGTGCACTCGCTAATGTTCATTGTACAAGAGAAGTTATCGTATGCCAGATATTGCATTAGTTGGACAGATAATATTTTCTTTTACTAGGCATATTTTAATTTGTATAACTATCACATACAAAAGGGTAACATGAAAACTGAACCACTAAAACTGATGAATATTCAAGTTTAAAGTGTGACGCATATCGTTTAGCAAATCGAACGCTCAACGCTCGTTTCTGGTGTTGCTCACCGTTTAGTAAAAAGGCCCGATCCCGGAATAATACTCAAGGGTTCACAGGTTCGAGATCGTTGTGTCAACACCTCTAACTGTTATATAGCATAAGTATATTATAGATCGTCACACATTTATAAAAGGGTGATTATTATTTTGACAAATCAATTCCACATTTATGGATGAAGTTTCAGGATCTTCTATTTGTGTATAAAAAGGAAAAATTGGCATCTAAATTTCCCCATAACGTAATAGCACACAGCTTGGCATATGAAATATCCTACAAATGAAACAAAGCAAGACAAACCGGTTTCTAATACAAGGATTTATATTGGCTGTTGTACATGTATTCTTTGAACGCAATCACTCTTTGGATAACGTTTTCAAAATCATTATAACAGGATTACTTTATCTCACAGACAATTTCAATAAACTGGATTTTACAGAACTCCCCTTATTTCTTAAACATGGACTGATCCAGTTGATTCGCCTGGAACTGCCATATTGTTTTTATACGGGATGCTAATCGGAACCCTTTAAGGGAATTTTGTAATACCCTGCCATATTATTTCCCCCGACTCAGCCACCTGGTGGCGAAATTGGTAACTACCTACTCGCATCTGAGTAATTGACTGTTAACTGACAATTAACCCAGTGATAATAATAACATAATGTCGAAGTGCTTAAAATAAATGCATAGAACATGATATGATAAGGCAATCAATTAGTTAATGAGCTGTCTTTAAAAGTGAAAAATGTATTATTAATTGTGAATTATATATATTAATAAAGCCTTTAATAGTGAAATTGACTTACACGGATCACCTATCATATTAGCATAAGTAACTGACCGAATCTTATTCGTTTAATTCGATCAAGATTGTGTTATAACTAGATTGGTAAATTGAACAAAGTTCAATTTAAGACTCCAGATAGATTGGTAAATTGAACAAAGTTCAATTTAAGACTCCAGATTGATTTACTTGAGTAAAGAGCTGAGTAAGCAACTGAGAAGGAAGCTGAGTAAGTATATGATTAAGTAATTGAGTAAGTAGCTGAGTAGGTAGCTGAGTAAGCAGCTGAGTAGGTAGCTGAGTAAGTAGCTGAGTAGGTAGCCGAGTAAGTAGCTGAGAAGTAGGTAGCTTAGTAGGTAGCTAAGTAGGTATGTAGGTAGGTAGGTAAGTAGGAATTGAAATTTGGTTTTCAGATTCGGATTCCTCAGAAAATTCTACCCTTTTTTTTCTTTTTTTTTTTTAATTAAAAATATTTATTCTCTAAATTAAAATCAAATACATAATAACACTTGACACTTTAAATAAGTGTATCAGCGTGAAAACATTTAAATATTAACCCGAGTCACATGGAAATGAGAAAAAAAGACCAATTAAGAATATTTACTCAGTAAAAAGAGAATAAAATTGATAACAATATATAAAATCTACATATATGTTTGTCAGTAATTCAGTTCATCATATGTTGATGTCATATGGATTTTAAAATTCTTTTTAAAACAGTAAATGGAAGGTGATGTTTTCAAAGAAGTTGGCAGATTATTCCAAAGCTGAGCACCTGAATATTTTATTGAATGTTGACCTATACTTGTTCTAAATTTTTTCATGTGAAGACAATTTTGGAATCTTGTCTCATGTTCGTGAAATATTAAATTTGGAGTAAAATAAGTTTCAAATATGTCAAAAGGAAAGCCATCGGGTTTTGTTGTGTATTGATAAAGAAATTTTGCAACTTCAAGCTTATGTATGTCAAAAATATCTAGAAAATTGAGTTGTTTAAAAAGAGGTGGACTATGTGCTAAAAAGTCAGAATTTGTGATTATTCTCACTGCACGTTTTTGTAACAAAAGCAATTTATTCAAAAAGGTTTTACATGCATTACCCCATATGATGTTGCAATAGTTCAATTGTGATAATATAAGTGAATTATAAATGGTAATCATGGTTTTTGTATTCAATTTATATTTAATCTTTCCCAGAATACCAATAATTTTTGATATTTTATGTATAACCTTATTTATGTGTTCATTCCATTTTAATTTACAATCAATTGTTACTCCCAGAAAATTTGTATGCATTACTCTATTAAGAATATTACCCCCTATTTTTATATTAAAATCTTGATTTTCATCAATATTTAACTTTGATCTTGTAAATAGCATATAATTTGTCTTGTCTATATTTAAAGAAAGTTTATTTGATTTGAACCATTCTAATGTCTTTTCCATTTCTAAATTTACATTTCTATATAGATCATGAAGATTTTTTTTAGAACATAAGATATTTGTATCATCTGCGAAATAGTAAATTTAAGAATATTTGAAACCTTATGTAAATCATTTATATAAAGAATGAATAAGATGGGGCCTAAAACAGACCCTTGAGGTACACCACAAGTGATAATATTTTCTTCAGATAGAGTGTTGTTAAAAGAAGTAATGATTTTTCTATCCGATAAATAGCTTTCGAACCAATTTTTTGCAACATTGCGAATTCCAAAATTATCAAGTTTTTTTAGAAGAATTTCATGATTTACTGTATCGAAGGCTTTCGATAAATCTAAAAATATTCCAATAGCATGAGTTGAGCTTTTATCTAAAGATATCCTCACTTCTTCCAAGAAGGAGAGGATTGCCATATAAGTTGAATAATGTTTTCTAAAACCAAACTGATTTTTGAATAAAAGTTTGTATGTTTCAATGAATGTTATTAATCTATTTTTCATGATCTGTTCTAAGAGTTTAGAAAAGACACTAAGTAGAGATATGGGTCTATAGTTTGAAAATTTTGAAGTGTTTCCTTTTTTAAAAAGTGGGATAACTTTGGCTGTTTTCAACTTAGTGGGAAAAACACCTGTATGGATAGATAAGTTTGCTATATGAACAAATGGTAAAAGTAAGTTATTTCTTGCGTGTTTAACTATTATTGGTTTGAATTCATCTAGGCCTGGTGAGCAATCTTTTAAAACTGACATTAAATTTTCGATTTCATTCTTACTCACAGGAGTAAGTTTTAAAGAAGATTCATTGATTTCCATAAATGTTAAAGGGGACGTTTTTGAACTTATCTTTGATGCTAATTTAGGTCCAACATTAGAAAAAAATCTGTTAAAATGATTAGCAATATCTTTTCTATCAGTCAAAGTATCATCTCCATCATAAAATTTATCTGGAAAAACTGAATCACATTTTTTGCGGTGAAGTAAATCATTTATAACTGACCAAGTATTCTTGATATTATTGCTTGTTTCAGTAAATCTATCACAAAAATATTTCCTTTCTGCTTTACGGATTAATTTATGGAGTTTGTTTCGAAAAGTTTTGTATTCAGCTTGATTCTGTTTCGTTG